GAGACAGAGCTGTGGCTTCTTGTTGTCCAGGTTTGGAGTGCAATTGGTGCGATCTTGGTCATCTGGCACCCTCCACCCTCCCTCCGGGTTTCAGTGATTCTCCTGCTCAGTTCTCCTGAGTTAGCTGGGGATTATAGGCATGTGCCCTCTTATGCTGGTATTGTTGTATTTAGTAGGAGACGGAGACCAGGGGTTTCACATTGTTGTCCAGGCTGGTCTCCAAATCCTGACCTCAAGGTGATTCCATCCCTTTGGCCTTCCCAAAATGCTGGAATTACCAGCGGTGAGTCAGTCCGGGCCTTTCCTTTTAATTATTTCCACCGATTGAACTCCAGCTTGGACCTGGTGTGGCCTGCGCCCTGGCAGTGCCGCTGGGTGTGGTGGCGTACCCTGCGGGGCATGGGCAGTCTGGGGTGCAGCTCTGCTCAGGGGCTGTTACCTGTTCTGGCTGGAGACGAGATACTCTTTGCGCAGGCCCATGGAGGACGAGGCGGTCACCAGATGAGCGGGTCAGGCCTGCGGGACTGGCAGTGATTGGGGTTTGAGGTCCGCCTCCGCAGGATCCTCTTGATCTGTGTTATTCTCTTGGCTCACCCACCCATTCCAACGCAGGTGGGTGACTTCACGGCGGAGCAGCTTTGCAGCGCCAACGGCACGACCCTACAAAACCCAAGTGCCACGCGGAGTGACGTGCGGCAGCAGAGGCGCCGCCCGCGCTGGCTTTAATGCAGTGTTTCTATTAGGGAAGGTTCGGGGGTGGGTTCGTGGATTAGTAGGTGGCTGGTGGAAGAAAAGGGGGGTCTGGAAAGTTGTGTCTCCTCATGGGTCTCGTGTGAACATCTGGGCTGAGTTACCGGGACCCCGGGGTGGAAACTTGGGCTGTGGCATCAGCAAGCTTGGGCCCTGCAGACTCCAACTGCCCACGTTGGTTCCAGCTGACCTCAGCCAGTTCTAAAAGCTCCTGCGAGCGAGTCTCAGCATCCCGGCAAGTGGTTTCTTTCCCTGTCTGCCATCTGTAAGTGTGAGCGTTTCTGTTAGTTGCTGGGTTCTTTAGCTCTTTGGGGCCAGTTCCCCAGCCCTAGACGTGTTCCTGCTGTCCCCACCGTGTGCCTCGGAGGGCGCTGGCTCTGTGGCGCCTTCCCCTGAGCTCTGATCCATCTGTGGACGGCTCGGTGTCCGCCCTCCCGCGCCATTAGGGGCTTCTTCATCTGCCCGTCTTCACGCGCTTTGCTGGTTTTGTGGGTTTGCACACACGTGTCCACCTCCTCTGGGCCTGGTGTTTGTGGCATCTGTGACAGGTTGAATAACAGCCCCAGGGATGTCCACACTCTAACCCTGTGGCTATGGGGCCTTATATGACAAAAGGGACTGGGAGGATGGGGTTAAGTGGAGGATCCTGAGATGGGAAATTATCCGGGGTTATCTGCACGGGCCGGACATTATCACGAGGGGCCGTGGAAGACGGAGGCAGAGAAGGAATGTGACGATGAAAATGGGCATTGCGGGGAGGTGAGACCTCCGGCCCAGGAATGCTGGTGGCCTCTGGAAGGTAGGAAAGGCAAGGCATGGAGGCCCCTGAGCGACGGGAGGAGCACAGCCTTGCTGAACCTTGGTTTTAGCGCTGTGAGGCTCCTGACCTCCAGGACTGCGAGAAGAGTCTGATTGCTTTAAGCTGCCAAGGCAGTGGCGGTTCACTGCAGCAGCATCAGGAGACTCACGCAGTGGCTGTTCCTTCTCTTTGGAAATGTCTAGCATTTTCTTTAAATCCTTAGTGTCTTGAAGCATGCAGTCTTATCATAGAACTTTTGGAATATTATTTGCTATTGTTGCTTTTGAAACAAGAAGGACAAAATAGGTGGCTGTCCATCCGGCCCCTGGTGGACGTGGTCCTCTGGGATTGCGTCTCTGATCTGCCGCAGCAGCTGTGGGTCCCAGGCTTTGGGGGTTCCAGTTTGCTCTTGCAGGTTTTAAACTTAGAACAAATTAAATGCTGAGGACCTCACACCAGAGGCAGCATAAAAAAGAACTCCAGGGAGCCAGGAGGCCACGCAGAATGAAAGCGCAGGTGTTTAGGGTCTTGGTGGGCCCCTGGGTTGGCTTTGGGGGTTCCGTGGCCAATTCCTGGCCCTGACAGTGGAGCTGAGGAGCCCAGCATGGATGCGGAACCGTCATGGCCCACAGAAAGCCCAGTCTCCCCATGCTGCCCCCATAATTCAGAAAACCTCCTAGGCCCTCAGAGCCCTTCCCAACCTCTGCAGACAGGCCCTGTGCTACCTGGGACTCTGAAAATCCTTTTGTTCCTGGTTTTATTAGGAACCAACTGTTTCTCTTCTTGTTTCATTGGCTAAGCTTCTGAGGTTGCCACCTTTTGCTTTAACATGGGTTCTGAACGTTGAGAGAAACTGAGCATGGGCCAGGACTGTCATCTCGAGGCCAAGGGGCTGGTGGCAGGACACCGTCCCTGCAGCAATTATGGCACCCACACTGCCAGCTCCCGTTGCAAAGGGCTCTGTGCCTGTCACCCTGAGACACACCCAGGAGGCCCCTGCAGCCCTGCCCCTTCCACATGCACCTCTGGGGGGTCTGGCTCTGGTGCTTGTCAGAATCGGCAGATCAACTCTTAGAGTTCAATGCCAGACAGTGTCTGTCTCCTGATAAATACCCACTTTGTGTTACTCACCAGTGAGGCTTATAAAATCGAAAGTCTGCGTGCTTCTCATTTTTTTTTTGCCTTGGTTCCCAGGAAGCCTGGAATTATGAGGTCTGTGGGCTGAGTTCTGTGCCTGGAGCTGGCCTCCTGTGTGGAGTGGCTCTGCTCTCTGTGGCATCAGAGTGGGCACACAGGCGTGGCTCTGCTCTCTGTGGCATCACAGTGGGTACGCGGGCGGTGAGAGGGGTCTGTTCCAGGTAAACACCCTGACCTCGAGGTGTCGCTCTCTCCTCCCTGATAGCTACACCTTCCAGCAGGTGCAGGAGCACACGGACCAGATCTGGAAGTTCCAGCGCCATGACCTGATCGAGGAGTACCACAGCCGCCCTGCCGCACCGCCTCCCTTCATCCTCCTCAGCCACCTGCAGCTCTTCATCAAGAGGGTGATCCTGAAGACTCCGGCCAAGAGGCACAAGCAGCTCAGTACGTCAGTCTCAGTGCCTCTCCTGAATCTCCTGGCCGCCTGGGTGCAGAGGGGGTGGAGATGGCGTGGCAGCTCTGCCCAGAACCCTGGACGCTCGGCAGGCCACTCAGGCCGCTCCCCTTCTGCTGGCCTTGAGCAAGTGATGGGGACCGAGCCCAGAGGCTCCCTCGGGGCAGGTGTGCGGAGGGCTCTTCCTGCCACTCAGGACCGACCACCGGGTGGGTCAGGGCTTCAGGGCCCACCGTCCTGAGGATTCCAGATCCCCTGGTCTGTCCTCCCACCCTGACAGAGAACAAACTGGAGAAGAACGAGGAGGCGGCCCTGCTATCCTGGGAGATCTACCTGAAGGAGAACTACCTGCAGAATCAGCAGTTCCAGCAAAAGCAGCGGCCCGAGCAGAAGATCGAGGATATCAGCAATAAGTACGGGGGCTTGGGCGGGCCTGGGGGCGGGGAGCCTCTAGGGGACCTCTTGCAGGTCCACAGGCACCATGAGTACATGTTCCACGTGGGGAGGCCCAGCAATGCCTCACCGGTGAGGGAACACTGTACCCCGTGGCCGCTGCAATGTTGCAGGCATCTGGGCCTGTGCTCGCAGCTGACCCAGGGCCCTCTGGGGTCCTTAGGAAGGCTGGGCCCCACAGGGCGCAGGGTCAGAGGCTGGGAGGGAAGTCTCGGCGGCTGGAGGAGGGGCAGGTTGGCCCACAGGAGCTGGCTTGGAGGCCTGGGGGGATGTGCACATGGGGTCCAGGCTGGTTTGGGGGTGGTTTGCTCAGTGAGCTTGTTGGTGCACAGCCTTACTGTAGCTTCTGCAGGTCCTCGGCAGCCCAGCCCTTGAGGTCAGCCACGCTCAGCACCATCCTCCCTCTAGGCTCCTCCCACTTTGCTTCTTTCCAGGGCGCGAGGTCAGTGTTGGGGGAAAATCTTTCTGATCCCTGCTCTCCACTGCCAGCCCTTTGGCCCTGCTAAGTGTCAGCAGGGCCTAACGGCCCAGCAGTGGGCAGCAGGAAGGGCTGTTCCCAGTGTCCTACTCTCAGTGTGCGTCTCACCATGGCATGAGAGGAGGAAGGGGAATATGGACACAGTGCCACCTAGTTATGGCAGTATGGAGGTTCCTGTAGTCACAAACGGGCATACCTGGAACTGGCAGGGATGCCCAAGACTGTGGGCTCTGGACAGACCAGGCCAAGTGCCCTCCACCTTAGAGACAGGTATGTACTCCTGCCTTTCCATACCTCCCTAGCCTTGTCTGTAAGATGGAGACACGATAGTCCCTGTTGACACCTTGGAGTTGTTTCCAGAATACAGTGGGGTCCTGACTGTAAAGAAATGAGCACATATGCTTGAACCACAGCCAGGGCTCTGCTAACGTGGCCTGGTGCTTTTATCATTACTCTTACGAGTAGTGGTGGTGGTGGTGGCGATGGTGATGATGGTGGCTGTGATGGTGATGGTGGTGGTGGTAGTGGTGTGGTGAGGGTGATGATGGTGATGGTGGTAGGGACGATGCTGGTGATGGTGGTAGGGATGATGCTGGTGATGGTGGTATTGATGGTGGTGGTTGTATTAGTCTGTTTTCATGCTGATAAAGACATACCTGAGACTGGGAAGAAAAAGAGGTTTAATGGACTCAGTTCCACATGGCTAGGGAGGCCTCACAATCATGGCAGAAGGCAAGGAGGAGCAAGTCACGTCTTACATGTATGGTGGCAGGCAAAGAGACAGAACTTGTGCAGGGGAACTCCTCTTTATAAAACCACTAGATCTCATGAGACTTATTCACTATACGAGAACTGCATGAGAAAGTCCTGCCCCCATGATTCAATTACCTCCCAATGGGTCCTTCCCACAACACATGGGAATTGTGGGAGATACAATTCAAGATGAGATTTGGGTGGGGACACAGCCCAACCATATCATTCTGCTCCTGCCCCCTCCCAAATCTTATGTCCTCACATTTCAAAACCAATCATACCTTCCCAACAGTCCCCCAAAGCCTTAACTTGTTTCAGCATTAACCCAAAAGTCCACAGTCCAAAGTCTCATCTGAGACAAGGTAAGTCCCTTCCACCTATGAGCCTGTAAAATCAAAAGCAAGCTAGTTACTTCCTAAATACAGTGGGGTACAGGCATTGGGTAAATACAGCCATTCCAAATGGGAGAAATTGGCTAAAACAAAGGGGCTACAGGGCCCATGCAAGTCTAAAATCCAGTGGGGCAGTCAGATCTTACAGCTCTCCAGTGATCTCTTTTGACTCCATGTCTCACACTGAAGTCACGCTGATGCAAGAGCTAGGCTCCCATCTTGAGCAGCTCCACCTTTGTGGCTTTGCGGGGCACAACCTCCCTCCAAGCTGCTTTCATGGGCTGGCATTGAGTACCTGTGGCTTTTCCAGGTGCACGGTGCAAGCTGTCGGTGGAGCTACCATTCTGGGGTCTGAAGGACAGTGGCCCTCTTCTCACAGCTCCACTAGGCAGTGCCCCAGTAGGGACTCTGTGTGGGGGCTCTGACCCCATGTTTCCCTTCCGCACTGCCCTAGCAGAGGTTCTTCATGAGGGCCCCGCCTCTGTAGCAAACTCCTGCCTGTACACCCAGGCATTTCCATACATCCTCTGAAATCTAGGTGGAGGTTCCCAAACCTGAATTCTTGACTTCTGTGTACCTGCAGGCTCAACACCACATGGAAGCTGCCAAGGCTTGGGGCTTGCACCCTCTGAAGCAACAGCCCAAGCTGTACCTTGGCCCCTTTTAGTCACAGCTGGAGTGGCTGGGATGCAGGGCACCAAGTCCCTAAACTGCACACAGCATGGGGACCCTGGGCCCGGCCCATGGGTCTTCCCTTAGCCTCTGGGCCTGTGATTGGAGGGGCTGCTGTGAAGACCTCTGACATGCCCTGGAGACATTTTCCCCATTGTCTTGGGGACTAACATTTGGCTCCTTGTTATTTGTGCAAATTTCTGCAGCTGGCTTGAATTTCTTCTCAGAAGATGGGATTTTCTAGCCTGTTGTCAGGCTGCAAATTCTACAAACTTTTATGCTCAGCTTCCCTTATAAAATTGAATGCCTTTAATAGCACCCAAGTCACCTCTTGAATACTTTGCCACTTAGAAATTTATTCTGCCAGATACCCTAAATCATCTCTTTCTCAAGTTCAAACTTCCACAAATCTCTAAGGTGGAGGCAAAATGCCACCAGTCTCTTTGCTAAAACATAGCAAGAGTCACCTCTGCTCCAGTTCCCAACAAGTTCCTCATCTCCATCTGAGACCACCTCAGCCTGGACCTTATTGTTCGTGTTACAATCAGCTTTTTGGTCAAAGTCATTCAAGAAGTCTCTAGGAAGTTCCAAACTTTCCCACATGATCCTGTCTTCTGAGCCCTCCAAACTGTTCCAACCTCTGCCTGTTACCTAGTTCCAAAGTTGCTTCCACATTTTCAGGTATCTTTTCAGCAGCACCCCACTCTACTGGTACCAATTTACTGTATTAATCCATTTTCACACTGCTGATAAAAACATACCTGAGACTGGGAAGAAAAAGAGGTTTAATCGATTCACAGTTCCACATGGCTGGGGAGGTCTCACAATCATGGCAGAGGGCAAGGAGGAGCAAGTCACATCTTACGTGGATGGCAGCAGGCAGAGAGAGAACTTGTGCAGGAGAACTCCTCTTTATAAAACCATCAGATCTCATGAGATGTATTCACTACCACGAGAACAGCACAAGAAAGACCCACCCCCAAGGTTCAGTTACCTCCCACTGGGTCCCTCCCATGATACATGGGAATTGTGAGAGTTACAATTCAAGATGAGATTTGGGTGGGGATGCAGCCAAATTATATCAGTAGTGGTGATGGTGAGGATGGTGATGATGGTGGTAATAGTGGTGGTGGTGAAGGTGGTGATGGTGATGGTAGTGGTTGTGCTGGTAGTAGTGATGATGGTGGTGGTAGTGGTAACGGTGATGATGGTGATGGTGGTGGTGGTGATGATGGTGATTGTGATGGTCATGGCGGTAATGGTGATGATGGTGATGGTGATGGGTAATGGTGATGGTGGCAGTGGTAATGGTGGTGATGGTGATGGTAGTGGTGATGGTGATTATGATGGTTGTGATGGTAATGGTGGTGATGGTGATGATGGTGGTGGTGGTAGTGATGGTCATGGTGGTGGGTGATGGTGATGGTGGTGATGATGGTGATGGTATTGGTATTGGTTGTGCTGGTGGTGGTGGTGGTGGTGATGGTGATGGTAGTGATGGTAGTGGTTGTGTTGGTAATGGTGGTGGTGGTGGTGGTGATGTTAGTGATGATGGTAATGGTGGTAGTGGTGATGTTAGTGATGATGGTGATGTGGTGGTGATTGTGATGGTGGTGGTAGTGGTGATGGTGGTAGTGATGGTGATGTGACAATGGTGATTTTGATGGTTGTAATGGAAATGGTGGTGATGGTGGTGGTGATGGTAGTAGTGGTGATGGTGGTGATGATGGCAGTGGTGGTGTTGATGGTGGTGATGATGGTGCTTCTGATGGTAATGGTGGTGGCAGTGATGGTAGTGGTGGTGGTAATGATGGTAGTGGTGGTGCTGGTGGTGGTGGTGATGATGGTGGATGTGGTGATGGTGGTAATGTTGATGATGGTGATTATGATGGCAATGGTAATGATGATGGTGACAATGTGAGGACCTTAATGAACTGGCTGATGTCAAAGCCCCTTCTAGCTCCCATTCTGAGTGAACTAGATACAGGTGCCCTGTTTGCTTGAGTCTGGGCACGATGACTTCCAGTTGAGCCCTTGGCATGCTCTCTGCCTAGAACAGTCTTCTCCCAGAGAGAGTCAGGACTTGCTGTCTCTCTCTATTCATGCCTCACTTCATTGGAGGGCCTTTCCTGCCCTCCACCCACCCTGTCCCCATGCCTTGTCTTTCTGGAATCTGGATGTTGGTTGGTTGGCTGGTGGGTTTGTGGGTTGGGTCATGTCTACCAGCCAGGCTCCATGGGAGAGTAGGGACAGAGTCCCACACGTTCCCCATAGTATCGTGGGATGTAGAGCAGACTCAGTGCCTAGAAGGCGCTCAGCAAATCCTATGCAGTTCTGGAACTGCTGCTAATTCCTGGTCTGGCAGGGTTGCAGGAGGCTGGGGTCGCTGGTCTCCAGGCCTGCTCAGCCTGATGTTTGGCTCCGATGGCCCACTTACAGAGGAGAGACCTGGGGCCATGCAGTGCCCTGAGAACCTTCTCTTACTTGCTCTGGCCAAGCACAGCTTTGATGGATGGCCTCGTCTGGGACATCTGACTTTGAGCAGTGGCTATGCCCAGGGCCCAGATGCTGGGGGAAGGTGCTTGGGAGAGGCGGCCTCCGCATGTCAGGATGAAGCTGAAAGGCCACAGCCCTGCTGATGACCAACATAGTCAGGGCTGGAATACAATGGCTGGCGTGTGTTAAGGGCTCACTGAGGACCACGCCCTTCACCTGCATCATCTCGCTCAACCCTTTTGCAGAGGGAGGTATTTTTCCTTCCACTTTTACCCTCTAGGAAGTGGAGGCCCAGGAAAGTGAGAGAGGTGGCTCAGCGTCCACCACTGGCCAGCGGTGTGGCCTGGAATGCAGGCCCCAGCAATTTTGCAGCCTCCTGCCTTAAGGGAGTGAGCTGGGCCCCAAATAAATCAGTCCCAGGCTGGGTATGGTGGCTCACGCCTGTAATCCCAGTACTTTGGGAGGCCGAAATGGGTGGATCATGAGGTCAGGAGATCGAGACCATCCTGGTTACCATGGTGAAACCCCATCTCTACCAAAAATACAAAAATTAGCCAGGTGTGGTGGTGTGCGCTTGTAATCCCAGCTACTTGGGAGGCTGAGGCAGGAGAGCCGCTTGAACCCAGGAGGCAGAGGTTGCAGTGAGCCGGGATCGTGCTGCTGCACTCCGGCCTGGGCAACAGAGCAAGACTCCACCTCAAAAAACAATTTAGTCCCAAATGCTGCTCAGCTCCTGCCCTATCCCAGACGTCTTAAAGCTCAGAGTTGGTCTGCTGCCTATTCCCAGCCTGGGTGCTCAGTGGAAGTTGGGCGCCTCCAGTTATTTTCTGAGGTTGGAAAAACTTAACTAAAATATAAATTTTCAGGCCAGGTGCAGTGGCTCATGCTTGTAATCCCAACACTTTGGGAGGCTGAGGTGGGAGGATTGCTTGAGCCCAGGAGTTCAAGACCAACCTAGGCAACATAGTGAGACCCCCGTCTCTACAAAAAATAAAAATAACAGTTATCCAGGCATGGTGGCTTATGCCTGTGATCCCAGCTACTAAGGAGGCCATGGTGGGGGGATTTCTTGAGGCCAAAAGTTTGAGACCAGCCTGGGCAACATAGTGAGACCCCATCTCTACAAAAAAAAAAAAAAGAGTAGCCTGGTGCGGTGGTGTACTTGGGGTCACAGAGTCCCAGCTGCTCAGGAGGCTGAGGCCAGGGGTTCAAGGCTGCCTGGGTGACAGGGCGAGACCCTGACTCTAATGCATATTTGTGTGTGAACGGAAGTTTTCCCAAGATGAGCCTGCAGAATGTATTTCCGCTGGGCCGCTGGCTGGTGTGCTCACCTGTCACTCCCATTGGTCAGCAGCTCTGGCTCATCCACAGAGGGGCCTGGGACAGAAGCTGATGTGCTTCAGTCGACCTGATCTTGCAGAACACGGGCTCCAGGGAAAGTGAGGAAAGAGCTCGACCCTCACCAAGGGCCCTAACCTGGTCACTGACCCTCCGTGGGTCCAGTGAGGAAGCCGGGGACCCGGGAGGCGAATGAGCTTGGGGTGCCATAACCTTGCAGCACTGAGGTGAGCTGAGTTCACCAAATCTCCTCGCCCACAGAGCAGGGCTGGAGCCTTGGGGGTCAAGGACAAGCTCTGTCTGCAAATCTAGACAGTTTCTGCATCTCATGGTGGTGGAATCACGCGGGTCCGAGAAGGCGCCAGTAACCACCCTCGCATGTTTGCAAGGCTGTCTGGGAAAACACAGCAGGTGCAGTTAAGCGGCTTTTGTGGGATTAAGCAAAATGCAGTGTGGGTGAAAGGAGACTCCCAGGCCCGGCGCGAAATCATTTTCTTCCCTTTCCCTAGATAACTGTTTAAAGTGGGACATATCCCCAGAAAATTTCTGTGTTACTAAAATAGTTGCTCAATATATTATAAGAATATCACTTGCAGTGGGCGCAAGGAAGTGAGGGAGCCCAGGGGACAGTGGATGAGAGCTGGAGACTCGTGTTTGGCCGCAGACTTATTTTAACCATAAACACAGCAGGCCAAGGCTGGGTGAAGCAAAATAAGACAGAAACCAAATATTTCAAGAATAATAGTGCCACTCCACAACCCCACAAAATAAGACAGAAAGCAAACATTCCCCAGCAACAGCACCACACCACATCCCCACAAAATACGACAGAAACCAAATACTCCCAGAAAAACAGCGCTGCTCCACAATCCCCGCAAAATACGACAGAAACCAAACATCCCCAGAACAGCAGCGCCTCTCCACATCACCCCCACAACAAATCAACCTCTGCTGTGCCCAGAGGAAATTTCACTGTGACCTGTCACCTGGCCCTCCCTCAGTTCGCTCACCTGCCCCCTCTCCTGGGACGGACAGGCTGCCAGAGCTTGCCGTGTGAGCCTCGGCTGTCCGTCTGCTGAGACGTCTTTCCCTTTGGGGCCCTGGGCAGTTTGGTTCTATGGGAGAAATGCATGTTACAAATAGTTTCATATTAAGAGGAAGCGAAGACTGATGCAGGGCTGTCTGCAGTGCGGCGTGGTGTGCATCCAGCTCAGCTGCTTCCTCTTTCAGGGTTGACGCCATGGTGGACCTGCTGGACCTGGACCCGCTGAAGAGGTCGGGCTCCATGGAGCAGAGGTTGGCCTCCCTGGAGGAGCAGGTGGGTCCGAGGTCCAGGCCTCCGTTCAGGAGGTGCCACTGTTGGGCCTGGTGGGCGGCTCTGCCATGTGATGGCACCGAGTAGGGCTCTGAGAAGCGATGGTGAGGAGGAGGTCAGAACGTCAGGGCAGCCGTTCCCAGCTGGAAGAGGCGCCCTGTGTGTCCTCCAGAAAAGCCTGCCCGAGCGTTGCTGTGACCGAGCTGCTCCTGCGTGCCCTGCGGCCTCTGTGGCCGGGCTGTGCTCCCAGGAAACAGAGTGTTTGTCCCTCCCAGCCTCTGAGCCCTGGAGAGGCCATGAGACCGAGGTGGGGAGGACTTAGAGATGGCCTGTGAGGGTCTGCCCGCCCACCCCATCAGCGTCCACCAGCTGGGCCAGGCCGTGCTTTCCAACGACAGCCCCTGAGGCCACGGCAGCCTCTGTGGTCAGCGCTGAGCCCTGTGGACGGCTCAGCCACCCAGTGCTGCTGCTCCCAGCTGGGCCCTGTGCTCCTGGGGCATCCACCATCCACCAGTCCTGCCTGCTGCACCCAGAGGTCTGCCCAGGCCACCCTCTCCCCCAGTCTAGGCCTTGCTGGGACCCCTGACAGGGTGCCGAGCTCTGAGCCACATGGGTGAGATACGTCCTGCTGTCCCCTGTGGGGGCTGCATCGGCCTCTGGGGAGGCTCCTCCTGGGAGGTGCAGGAACCCTGGAAACCTCTGGCTTTGGCGGCCCGTGACCTCTCCCTGTGGTGGAGAACCGCCTGACTGCAGCTTCATGCTGGCTCCATCCTCTGACTTGTCCAGTCCAGTGACAGTCCCACTGTTGTATCTCTTGGGCAGGCTGCGTCATCAGATGTGTGACTCGGCAGCCCCCAAGGGAAGCTGGGTGGGCCCGGGGCAGCATCCTGGCTGGCTTGGTGGCTGCCTGGGGAGGAGGTGGTGTCTCACTTTCAAAGTGTGCAGGGGCTGAGTGACAGGGGTGGGGCTCCTGGCTGGGGGAGTGAGGTCTCGGTGGGCAGTGGGATGTGTACCATACGTGTGGGTGGTAGGTGCTCACTGTGTCTCGGGCTGTGCCTTCCAGGTGGCCCAAACGGCCCGAGCCCTGCACTGGATTGTGAAGACACTGCGGGCCAGCGGCTTCGGCTCGGAGGTGGACGTCCCCACTCTGGGTGAGTGGGTGGCCAGGCCAGCAGCTGGTCTTCACCCACCTGTGTTCTTTTGGGTCTGGGGTCAGTGGGAGGAGAGGCAGCTGGTGGGGCTGTGGCCAGGAGGAAAGCACTGGCTGGAGCCCGTTCCCAGGCCTGGCAGGGCCAGCGCCCTCAGGAACTCAGCCCACCCACCAATGCCGGTGCCGAGGCCCCGCCCGATCCCTGACCTGACCAGGTTCCTGGATGTCCACGGGGAGGCCTGGCCTGCCGTGCCCTGAGCTCCCCACATACCCCGCTGCGGAATCAGGGGTGCGAGCCGGGCAGCTGCAGACTGTGTCTGAACCTGGTCAGGTGGGCTGAGTGACGAGAAGCAAAGTCTGTTTTCCTAAATTTGCAGCTGGCTATGAAATGGACATAAGTAGCCTTCCTTGGGCCACTGAGTTTCGCTGGCCCCCAAGGAGCACATTTCTCTCGGTAACTGCACTGTGAGTTCAGCTCATTACTGAGGTCCCTGATTGCCGCTGCACAAAGGGGCAGGTGCCAGCAGGGACGCTGCCCTGACCCCTGATGGCCATCCTCCCTGGGGGTCCTGCTCACTTCAGGGCTGGTGTTCGACCTGCATGGCCATTTGGGCTTGGGGAGGTGGTGGAGCCCAGATGTTTTGGTGGAAGGACCACAGAGGAAGTCCCTGTCCTGCGGGTGAGCACCTGAGCCTGGGCTCTGCCTTATGTCACGGCTTCCTGACTGTCCTCAGCCTCCCAGAAGGCCGTGGAGGAGCCAGATACTGAGCTAGGAGGCAGGAAGAAGATGGAAGAGCCAGGCGACAGCTACCACGTGAATGCCCGGCACCTCCTCTATCCCAACTGCCCCATCACACGCTTTCCCGTGCCCAACGAGAAGGTGCCCTGGGAGGTGAGCGCCTGCCTGAGCCCAACCAGGCAGAGTGGCCGGGCCCCTGGGGAGGCGAGGGCAGCCCTGTCCCCATCCATCTGGTGTTAATCCTGGTTTCCGGCCACTGCAGCCACAGGGGGATCTGTACGTCTGGCAGCCCCTGTTTGACATTTAAGGAAACTGAGGCACAGAGGAGTCATCACAGGGGCCCCACAGCTCGAGGTGGTGGAGGGGCCTCGGGGGGCACACTGAACCCCACAGAGTTCGAGGCTCAGGCTCCTCCCATGATCATCCTGGGGCCCAGCGCCACTGGCTCCATTCCCCCAGGTCATGCCCTGGTCCTAGACCCCACCCATCCCTGTGAATGGCTCTGGCCCCTTTCCAGATGCCAGGCATGGAAGAGAGACAGAGACACAGAGACAGCGAGATGGCTAATGGCCCTGCGGAGACCCCCGCCCTCCTGGTGCAGGGCTTCTCTCTGGCCCATCCAGAACATTCCAGGCTGCTGCTTTCGCTGCCTCTGTCCACCACACAGAATCCTCCTTGCCTCCAGGGTCCAGCTTAGACCCCTGCCTCACCCTGGGAAGACTCCCAAGGCCTCCAGTCATGGCTGCCTGCCCTTCAGCTGGCCCCAGGGTGGGGGTCCCTGAGCCCAGCCCCCAGCTCTGCCCGGCTTGGAGCTTCTGCCCTGCATGTTGGGATGTTGGGGTTGGGTTCAGACCCAGCGTAGCAGCCCTTTTACCCTGGTGCCTGGGCCCAGCTTTGCAGTAGGGGTAAAAATCTAGGGGAAAATTCCCTGTTTTGCAACAGACGGAGTTCCTGATCTATGACCCGCCCTTTTACACGGCAGAAAGGAAGGACGCGGCCGCCATGGACCCCATGGGAGAGTGAGTGTGAGCTGCTGTCCGTGCTCCCAGCTGGCCCCAAACCCAGGACCTCCCAGGGGCTCCCTCGAGTATCCCAGTCAGGGCTCAGCCTGGGGAGGCCCTGGTGAGCAGGAGGGGTCCATGGGGGCCTGAAGGGGCCCAGCTCCTACTGTCATATACACTCAGCCTACAGCCACTCGGCTGGGCCCTTGGTGGGGGGTGAACCCTGCCTGTCTGCTCTGTCCCACCCGCAACACGGGGACACAGACACGCCTTCTCCTCTGCTCCCAGCACCCTGGAGCCGCTGTCCACGATCCAGTACAACATGGTGGACGGCTTGAGGGACCGCCGGAGCTTCCACGGGCCGTACGCAGTCCAGGCCGGGTTGCCCCTGTGAGTGTGCCCCCCACAGGCCCCGCCCTGTCAGCCTTTGGAGTTTGCCTGGGGGGCAGGTTTCCTCTCTGGGCAAAGGAGGCATTTTTCTCATAAAACAAACCAAAAATGCACGTGAGCCACAGAAAGGAAGAAAACATCAACTCACGGCATCACTGCAGCTCCTGGGATAGGGCATGGGACGGTGGGACTTGTCCCCTGGCCTCCGGCAGGCCCTGCCCACAGTCCCTGCCGTGACCTGGGGACTTGGATTTGTCTGTGTACCTGGGGACAGCTGTGCTACGAGAGGCAACATCTTGGAGGATGGGCGGGGGGGACAGCTGTGTACCTGGGGACAGCTGTGCTACGAGAGGCAACATCTTGGAGGATGGGCGGGGGGGACAGCTGTGCTGGGAGAGGGCGACGCCTTGGAGGATGGGGGGGGAATGGCTGTGCTGGGAGAGGGCGATGCCTTGGAGGATGGGGGGGGGAATGGCTGTGCTGGGAGAGGGCGACGCCTTGGAGGATGGGCAGGAGGGGACGGCTGTGCTGGGAGAGGGCGACGCCTTGGAGGATGGGCAGGCGGGGACGGCTGTGCTGGGAGAGGGGGCACCTTGGCGGATGGGCAGGGGCTGTGCAGCAGGGAGGGGACACAGGAATGGGTACTGGCAGGCTCACCTGGCCGGGAAGGTGGACTCGCCTGGCGTTGTGTCAACTATTAAAGACTCAGTGAAAAATCTAATTTTAAAATCGTATCAAATGAATATAGGAAGGTGTGTCTTTATAATTCATAGAAAGAAAACACACTAAGGAAGACAATGAAAATAAGATTCATAAGCCCACAACAGAGCACGGGGCATATAGAAAGTGCTCTTCTAGTGCTACTAAAGCCCGCGTGGCACCACATCCTGCCCAAGTCCTGACACACTGCCTGTGTGGCGACCGCCCGTGAGAGGCAGGTGCTTGGCCTTGTCACCCACACCGGGCCCTGCAGCCTCCTCGTCAGCTTCCCAGCCACCAGATGCCACCTCCCTAAATACCCACCCTTGCCATCCCGCACACCCCACACCAGAGCAGGCCACCTGCAGCTGCAGCCACCTGGCCAGGACCCTCTGCTCTCAGGCCCATACTTCTACCACCTCCTTACTCGACCTCCAGCTCCAGGCAGAGGAGCGCACACCCTGTTCCAGAGCATTCCGCAAAGGCCTGCATGCAGTCCCCCGTCCTTCAGACGTGGGACTCCCCCAGTCCCTCCTCTGGCTCCATGGTTCATTCCATCACCTGGCCACCCCCAACCCCAGGTTCTGGTGGCCCCTCCTCACCTCCCTCCTTCATGGGCAGGTCAAGAACAGGTCCTTACCTCCAGGGCACTTGTAGGCCCTTGAGGGTCACCTGACACTACTTTGGGTTTCCTCACCTGTGTGATGGGTGCAGCGCCGATCCTGTGGGGAA